TCATTTTTTATTATTCCAGGAAACGTTCCGAGCGCCTGTGCAGTCAGTAATGTCTAAGTACTATTTGGAGGGTGTGACCTTTGAACCCCTGAACCACAACAATCTGACGTCATTAGGCGGCCATTTTCTGTCTGATTTCCGTACGTTTTGTGGACGTATGAACTTGATGCACACCCGGTAAGTGACAAACATAACATATCTGAACGAAATGTGTGTTTTCTGTATTTATCGAATAGCACGCAATGTGTCTTTCAGCTTTTGCATTATGTTTCACATACATGTTACTGCAGGGATACTACGGGGTGCAGTAATAAGACTAAGAGAGTGAAACCACAGGCGCTCGGAACGTTTCTTGGATAATAAAAATTACCTAAAGTAGGGTCGGCATAGTCAGTCAAGTCATTTTTATTATCCAAGAAACATTCCGAGCTCCTGTGGGTGAAACAAGAACTAGTACTACAGTTGCACTGTGGGTCCATAGCTAATTCTTTTGTCTCTCTTTTAGTTTTTTGTTATTGGCAACAACATGAAGGAAATGTACATTACTTATTCAAGTACAACTATTCATTAATTACTTCAATTATGTCTATCCATTGCTGACAATGTGTATCAAGTTTATCTCTTTCTGTAGCAATTTCATATTCTAAATTACAATTAGACTTAACTAGGAGTTTGAATAAGGGAAAATGGAGTTTGGACTTTCTCATCTTTGCTGCATAAATGTGTCTCTTAGCAATTAACATAAGGTGGTTGTAAATTATGAACTATTTCCAAATATGATCACATCAAAAGTGGGTTTCTGTACCAACATCATGTTTTTTTAAAACATTTGAAAAATTCATCCCAGAATTTATCAGTGAATTTACATGAATAAAAAAAGTGGTCCAGGGTTTCATTTTCATCCCCACAAAATGTACAAAGAGGTGATTGATTAATACCCCTTCTAGACAGATCATAATTTGTAAATAAAATGTGATATATTAACTTGAACTGTAGTTCACATGTTTTTGTATCAAGAGCTACCTTGAATGGTAGACCATATGTAAAACTCCAAAAACTAGTATAATTAAACTCTCTTTCATAGTATCTTTCATTGATTAGCTTATCCTTATTTCTATCCATGAATATTCTTTTTATTACATTTTTTGAGATTTTGTCAAGTTCTATGAAACCACAATCAAAAAAATACTGATCTACTGTTTCCGTAGGAGAGTCATTGTTATCAATTTCTTCCCATTCTCTAGGAATAGACCTTATTAATCCATAAAGCATAAATATTTCATTACATTTAGGGTTTTTTTAAATGCAAGTCTTGCCATGTCATAAATTTGTTCCCATTTTGTAAATTAGAAACATATTCAATTCCTTTCTGCCTGAGATTTCTATAAAAGACTGATCTCCCTCCTACAGTAATATGCCTGTTGTTTCAAATTATTTGACTAGATACATCTATATCATAATTCTCATCAGATTCATTGGACAATGACCATGCTTCTA